GGGGTGGACTCACACGCTGGAGTCCCAGGTTCGAATCCCAGTCGGATGCATGCAAATTTTGTTTAGAATTTTTTGAATTTAAAATTTTTATTATAATTTTAATGCATAGTTTATACCATTTAATGTGCAAATATGTTAAATTGTTATTTTTTTATTTATTTATATATTTTTTATTGAAAAATTTCCATATATGGGGGATTCCATATATGATCATATCTGGTTATATTTGGTCCAAAACCAAATATAGCCAGATAAAAAAAATTTAATATGGCCATATATAATCTTTTTCATAAGGGAACAGCTGAGCCAAAAATAAAATAATATTCATTTGAACAAAAGAACTGGCCACATGTTGAAGGAATTTAAAACGTAAACACGCTAGTAAAGCTATTGACGTAATTAATTGTCTATTGATAATCAAACCACCCTCATTGAATCAATGTACATCGTAATTTTCCATAGTCATTTATTTAAACTATACAATATTCAGCGCCTACAAACGTAACCACAACTAAACACACGCCAAACAACTTTTTAGATTTCATAAAAGGATGGTTAGTCTAATTGCAGTATCCTAGGTCAATGATGACGTTGTGTTCAATCTATGTCATTCATCTGTATATCTTTGGATAAAACCCGTCTGAGGTTGTGGTGGTAATTTGAAATCGTATTCCTGAGGATTCTTGATCTCCATCTTTATGACATCAATATTTCCGGCCTAATCCAATAGTTATTTGTGTAACTAGGGGTGAAAGTGGCACTTTGCTGCACACGAGAGCAATGTTTACGCACGAGCCGCAGGCGAGTTCGGAATCATCTCGAGTGCAGCAAAGGCCTTTTTCACTCGTGTTGCACATTATATTTTTCCTACAGTCACTATAAAGCATATAAATCATTAGTCTTTCAAACACTATACAACACGTTTTTAGGTTCAGCTGGCAACACAAATGGTGCCCTAGAGAAAGTAGTACTCGCGGTCCGTATCACTCCGCTATTTTTCCTCAACAAGAAATGTGCTCCGCGTTTTGAGAATATAGTTCCGTATGTTTTTGTAATTTGAAGTGCTTTCCGCCCCTAAAAAAAATGCTTTAAAGGTATTTTCTTGTTTATTAAGATTGTAGGAATGTTTTAAAAACATTTAAATGAAAAGTCCAGAAAGTTGAGAAATACCTAAACTATAAACACGAAATGACAGGTTAAATCGTAGTTATAATAGTCAATCAGCTGCTCATAGTATTATTATCTTTAAGTGTTGCCAACCTATTTCCAAGCGTACACGGATTACGTGCATAATAGAACCACGCTGTTTTGTGTTGTTTCGTTGGAATCCTGATGTGCGGCAAAGTATAAACCGTACGGCAAAGTATAAATATGCAGCAATTAGCAGCTTTCTGTACTATAAACAGTACAAGGAAGCCAACTTTGTCGGATGACTGTAGGAAAACAAAGTTTAAGCATTCAAAAACATTGATTGTAAACAAAACGCTGCCAAGATGAATTAAAACATGTAAAAATTGTGATTTTCGTATCCTTTCCATAAAAGTTGGGCAGTAAAATAATTTGCATATTACTTTTTTTTTTTTACTCGTGTACAGAGCCTCGACTTGTACACATCGATGGTGTTACTTATCTCGGTGGCCTACTAATCTTACTTATTTCCTATAATCAATGACAAAATCAGAGTAAATAACCTCATAGTTCTATGGGAGATTTTTATAATTAACCAGCTGTTAGTTAAAACATATTATATTGCACTAAAACAAACCGAAGATTACAAAGATTACTTAAAATCTTTGATACATTCTACTCTATTCTATTCTATTCTAAAATCTTTGATACCACCCATGTTGGAGGGTGATAGGCTAATTCACGACCCCTTTGAGGTTGCACAGTTGTTTAATTCTTTTTTTGTGGAGGAAGTAAATAGGATTGCTGCTGCTGCGTCGACTGGAGTTGATCTAAATGATGCAAATATAAATGAAGTGGAAATGAACCTGCCCCATACGGCAGAAGAAGAGGTGATGTCTGTTCTAAATCACGTAGGAAGAGGAAAATGCGCTGAAATTGATGAGGTACCTTGCTACTTACTTAAATATTGTAACACCATTGTTGTAAAACCCCTTACAAAAATAATTAATAAATCACTAAGCACAGGAGTGTTTCCAAATCAAATAAAAACTTCAAAAGTTGTACCAATTCATAAGAAGAATGAAAAGAAACTTGTAAATAACTACAGACCTGTTGCTGTACAATCGGTTTTCTCTAAGGTCTTTGAGATTATTTTCATAAATAGACTTATAAATTATTTAGAAATAAATCATGTTATTACTGATAAACAATTTGGATTCCGTAAGGGTAAATCTACGTCTGATGCCATTTTTACACTCTTGGGGTCAGTCTATAAAAATCTGGATCTTATGGAAGAAACTCTTTGTCTATTCTATGATATGACTAAAGCGTTTGACTGCATAAATCATTGTAAACTGAGGATTAAACTAATTAGTATGGGAATAAGAAATACAGCTTTAGATTGGATAATGTCTTTTCTTCAAGATCGAACACAAGTAGTTTCTATAAAATATACAGATTCAAACCAGACATCAAAATTTGTCAAGTCAAAAATTTCTCCTTTGATAAACACAGGTGTCCCGCAAGGTTCAAACCTCGGGCCTATAATTTTCCTGCTTTTTATTAACGATCTGCCATGCTCAGTGACAAAGGGTAATATTTGGCTCTTTGCAGACGACATCAGTCAACTATTTACAGGAAAAGTTATCAAAGAAGTAATTGATGAAGCTCAACAGGGAATAAATGAAATTGTTTCATGGTGCAGCTCAAATGGATTAAGGGGAGCAGTGCGTGAAAATGCTCAAAATATTAACTTTTATTAAATGATGACAAAATATTGTGTATTTTGCGCTGTTTAAGAAAATATATAACACTTTATACTTGGATATTTTCTTACATAAGAAGGAATCTTTAATCCTCCTTTAAGATAAATTAAGGAAACTACCCATTTTCCCGGGTTTTCCTGATTTACTAAGCTTGTCATAGTATTATCTTCAATCAAACTGCATATTTGCATTTAGGATAAAAAACTGAACAATTTGAGTACCCATAGTCTAATATTGTAAATAAAAATAATTTTCCCGGATTTTTGAAAGAGGGCTTCTGGATTTTACCGAGCCTGCCCTTCAAGGGTTCAAATGTGAATTTCCGAAAGTTAGTTTTAATAAGTTTAGGTACCATTCTAAAGAAACTACTTAACTAATCAAGCCCAAATTTTACACAATACTTCCTGTTACCATGGTGAATAATTTTATGCATTTTTTGAATGTTACCATTAATTTTACTTTAAAAATAAATTGTTTATTATAAAAAAAAAAAACACAATTAAAAATTAGTAATTTTTATTAAATTTTATATTTTAAAAACTGTACCTAATTTCTTGTTTATATAGCATGAAATCATAGAAAACAATCTAAGGAATGAATATAAAAAAATTTAAGTCAATATCTCTAACGGTTTTAAAAATAAATGTACCTATCTAATCACATGTTTTCCCATAAGAATAACATGGGAGTGGTATTCGCACACTGCTCCCCTTAACACTAAATCAAAGCAAAACAAATGTTCTTCATTTTTACAATAGGAAAATTCCAAATTGTTCACCTTTACTCAAAATGAATGGAAATAGCATCAAAATCAACCATAGTACCAAATATCTTGGAATTACAATTACAGAAAATTTGCACTGGACTGAACATATTGATAGTATGATAAAACGTTTGAAAGTTGTATACTGCTTAGTAAGAAGACTCCAAAACATAGTTGATCAAGAAGTATTACTAAAAATATACTATGGGTGCTTTCAGAGTGTAATAGCCTATGGCGTACTCTTTTGGGGAAATAGCCCTGATGCAAAGAGAGTTTTTATCCTACAGAAAAGAATAGTTAGAACAATTTGTAAGCAACATTACTTAACACCATGTGCACCTTTTTTTAAATCACTGCAAATTTTAACCTTACCGTCTCTTTACATATTTGAAGCAGCAGTAACAGTTAAGAAATCTCCCCAATGCTTTATTCAAAATTACAACGTCCATAACATTAATACGAGACAGAAGAAAAATTTACATGTACCTCAGATTAATTCAACTTTAGCAAGAAATAGCCCTCACTATCAGTGTGTAACAATTTTTAATAGACTACCAAATGAGATTAAGGAAGAACCTTCGATGGAATCCTTCAAAGAAAAATTGAAGAATATATTAACGGAATCACCGTTATATAAAATTGAAGACTTTATGGTAAATCCATAGAAAAGAAATAAAAACTGACGTCCACGGCGCAGCAGCGCTTCCAGTGGCAACACATCAAGTATCAAGTAAGTATCAAGTAAAAAAATAATTTGAACATCCTAGTATTTTACTATGAGTATTTAATTAATCCGTCATCCTCTTATCGAAGGATTAAACGTATCAATGATTAGCATTACACATAGTATAAATAAGTCAACCCTTAGTATGTCTTTTAATTTGATCCAAATGCTGAATTTGTGTTACAAACGCTGAATGTTTACAGCTGTTATGTTAAGCAAATTATGTTATACCAAAAGCTAGTTTAGAATCTTAGCGTCGGCTGCTAGACTTTTCAAAAATTAAAAGTTAATTTCTAAATAACTGGGACCGTAAACTAAAATTATGGCTTCGACATTCCCTAGTTCTCAAAATTATCTTTCTTTCAACACAAAAATCATGAAAATCCGTCGAGTGGTTGATTCAGAATCGTGAAATAAAAAAACCCTGTTTCGTTTTAATATTATAGATAGATTTTTTGGTGTTACAAAAAAAATATGTTGGATTAAAACCTCTTTTAAGCACACCCAAAGTTTGCATTCAAAGGTACTATCACAGTTTGCAAGCCTCTACAGACACTCAAAGGTTTTGAAAGCAGCCCTTTTGGTACAGAGTGATTTAAAATCAGTATGTAACACACACCTAGGTTTCCTACCACTTCCTGGACAAGGAGGAGGAACACTTTGCAAAAGTTCTTTTTGTCGATCAGATATTTTACTGTTTGAACTGCCATTGAGAGGCTTGTCTGAGATATTTAAACATTCTGCCACGAGCTCATTTGTAATCTCAGGGTTATTGCTATTGACTGATCTATTCTTGAACATAGCAGAGAGACATGGGGTCCGAAAGGCCTGTTCTGTAGAGCGAGAACTACCACTGTTTCTCTCAGCTGTACTAAGAACTTGGCCTTGGTTGTTGTTCAGAGTGAATGCACCATTGCTTGACTGAAGACTGCCAGATGTCTGGTCTCTTGGCGTCCTTGGTGGAATGTCTAAAACAAATAGTACGGAATAGGCTACATTAGATTAACACAATATAATTTGTTATGTACTTGAAGCATTTAATCAACATTTTACTTAAAATGAATAAGTTATTCAGATGTAACAGATATTGCATCGGTGGTATGCATGCAAATAAGCTATTTTGGCGTTTGTACTTACATTTTACAATTTAGTTATAGAGTGAAAATTTTCAAACGTACGTTTTTATGTCCCTGGCCTTTTACTTTGTAGATACTGAATACCTATGTAGTTTATCATTATATGTTTTAATATTTTTTGGGTTAGGGGCAACATGTTACACACAATTATTTGGCTTTAAATAGGTTCTAGGTATTTTTTTTGTATTTTTAAAGTCTCAAAACTCACGACCGTCACGTGACCCTAGGGTACATTTTGCAACTTTCATGCTGTTTTTAGAATAATTATTCATGCCAAAATACATAATGTCATATTTTTATTACATCAATAATACACAATACAATACAAATCATCTTTATTCATCAAGTATTTTACAGCAAATACATGAACTGCGTCACAGAAAGGAAAAGATAAGCAAAAAATTAGGTACCTATACAAGTATCCTAAATAATACAAACATAAATCATAACATAACATATTTCTAATCATTTAAATTCCAAAACTCTTCAATTGAATATAATGATTTAGATTGCAAATAGTTTTTCAGTAGTTTTTTAAAGCTACTGTAATTATGTTCATTGAAAATATTTTTGGGTAGGCTAAATAAAAATTTTTTGCCAATGAAACTGGTTTTTTTCTCAAATAACTTCAATCTGTGTTGTTCTACATGCCTGGTGTTTCGTAAATTGTAACTGTGGAAATTTTTAGTTTGATAATCTGAACTTTTTACATGTAGAATAGTTTCAAAAATGTATAAATCATAGATGGTCATTATACCCAATTTAGAAAAATATTTTTTAACTGATTCTCTGTTTTTTATACTAAAGATAATTCTAAGAGCTTTTTCCTGTTGACGTAATAGTTATTAAACTTACGAAAAAGGAGCATATGATAATTTTGTTTTCATTGTAAACTGACTACCTGACTAAATAGGTCTGTCCCTCGATTTGACGCCACGACCATTGGGGAAAAATTTGCAACTTAGAAGCACGACAGTGGCAAGCCTGTCGTCGATGGAGTCAGTTGGTTTTTAGAGACTAGTTGGGGGTGTGTTGAAAATGCCTGCATTTTTTTAATTATTTGTAATAGTCATACAGATGATATGAATGTTGTTTTAGCGAATTTCCCATATAGGGAATAAGCTGTTACCGTAGGTCTCATGGTAAGACCTAGACCCGGGACCGATTTACTTTTTTGTTTTGAGGTCCTCAGAGGCCAAAAACACCATCCGTTCTAATTCATATATATATATATTTATATGTTTATATATTTATATATTTATACATATATATATGTGTCCGTTAGCACGATAACTCGAACAAAAATCATCTGATTTTGATGAAATTTGGTATAAACGTGTAAACCTACATTTATTCGACCGAGTTGGCGAACCAGCATGATCGGACCATGGGAACGGGGCCCTAAAAACATAAAATTTTGGAATTTATTTCCCAACCATTTTGTAGAGCTTAAAAAAAGAAATAATTTAGTATATTGAAGCATTGTTGTATGCCTAAGGGTTACGGAGAAAATTCAAATAAGGGCAAATTTAAAATTCCCATGTTATCATTATGGAGAAAATGAAAACTGTTGTAGTTGACTTGTTTATGGATATATTTTGATCAAATTTGGCAAATTTAATTATTTCATCCTATACTATTGACGTTTGGTAAAAAAAAACACTGTTTACCTTCCCCGTAGCAGCAAACCTAAGCACTCGTTAAATCTAATGTTATTTAAACTGGGAATAAATAGTTCTTATTTATGGAAATATGTAATCATGTAATCAGACAAGTTGAAATTCGCTTAGTCTGCAGGTTGCTGCGGCGGGGGTATTTTACTATCAGATGTCTGTTTTTGTTTTGTCCAAATTTGTTCATTATAAAGTTTGATGAGAAATACTTTTGCTTTTTTTTATAGTTTAAATTAGTTTTTCATCGTAGTTATACTTAGATTATTCCTAAACACCTCCACTTGGGACAATAATAATTGAGGTTATGGTCGCCAGCATCGTTTTAAGTACATGCCAGTGTTGGGAAATCTAGTCTACTACGTACACGGTAAGAAGAATTTATTCTGACGTAATTTTCTGTCTCAAGAGTATTATTTCTTTGGGATATCTTTCGTTCGATCGAGTTCGTCCAGCTCTACAAATGGAATACGTTTAAGGTATAAAACCATTGAAAGGAGCAGAAGATAGGCCGACGTGGAAAGATCGAGTGTTGGACGTTCTAGAGTTGTTCGAAGCGGTTGATATCGTCAAGGGAAAGAGAGAAAAGCCTACCCTCTCTGAGCCTCCGACTAAAGCCGAAAAGGAAGAACTTCAGAAATTCAACAAATCCATGGCTCAGGCAAAAATAGTCATTTCTCAGTGTGTTAGTGATGATCTACATCAACGTATTTCCAGGAGATTATCAGCTAAGGAAGCGTGGGACATTTTAGTCGAGCAGTTTGATAACAAGGCAGAAGACCAGTTGTTTCGTCAGTGTTTGGATTTCTTCAGTATGGAATGGGATGATACCGAGGATGCCCCGACCGTGCTTTCAAGATTGAAGAATCAAAACTGCAAATTTGCAGCTGGCCTAAAAACACGTAACATCCAAACAGTCAAAGATTTTCTTGAGCTCCTGTTTGTGTCAAAAGTGTTACACATTTTGCCGAAGCATTTTGAATCGTTCAAGTCTAGCTACTTACTTATGAAGGCAAACGAGAGCAAGAAACTTGAAGATCTTTCATCTGCATTAATCCTTCATGAGCATAATGTTGCTCCTACGTCAAAAGCTGGTGACATTCTTAGTGCCACAAACAGCGGTGGTCAGAAGAATAGGAAACCAAAAGGTGACACTTCGTGCAAATGCTGTTCGGGGAAAGGCCATTGGATTCGCTAGTGTTCTAAAATGGAAAGCTGACGGCAAGCCTGCGTATCTAGCTCGAGCTAACGGCATTAGCACTAGCTCAAAAACGAGTGACACTGATAAGAAGAGAACGAAGGGCTCGGAAGTTAACGTGACCGACAATCGTAGTGCGCTGATTTCCATCAGTAGTGACATTAATATCGTGACCACGAACGACCAGTGGTGGATCGACAATGGCGCTACGCGGCACATTACGTCAAATCTGAGTTGGTTCACGGAGTACAAACCTTTTCCTGCAAACTCGAACGCAACAGTAAAGGCGGCGGGAAAGGAAATTATAAAAGCTCTTGGCAGTGGAGTCGTTGAAGTAGCGAACTATGAAAATGGAAAACTGAAAACGATCACACTCAATGATGTCTGGTATGTTCCTGACGTTTCTCGGAACTTAGTGTCCATTCTCGCAGCTCATGATCGAAACCCTAATAGCAGGTTTGAATCGACTAATACCGAGTGTCGGTTCACTATTAACAAACAAACACTGAATTCAAAGGTCCTCGAAACTGTGGTGGAACTTTGTATCATGCCTCATTTCACACATTTCAACCATCTGAGGTTTGCGCTAATGCAGCAGAAGACAATCGTATTCTGCAGTTGTATCATGAGCGCTGGGTTGAAATGGATAAACGCTATGTCCGATCGAAGCTCGAATCCGAAATGGGTATCAAAGTGCCAGCCAACTAAGAGATCTGCGAACTTAGTCAGTTCGGAAAGGAACACCGTCTACCATTTGGAACACGAGAACGCCCCTCAGCCCCCGGTGAGTTGTTATCCGGTAATGTTTGCGGCCCGTTTGACCCATCCTTCGGAGGTCGCCGATACTTGATCGTCATAAAAGACCACTTTTCAAGGTACCGATACTGTTTTGTCGCAAGGGAAAAATCTGCTGTGAAGGAAGCGTTGCGTGAAGTGTTGTCTAAAGCTCGCTAAAATGGTCATCACGTCAGGGAGTTTCTCAGTGACAACGGTGGTGAGTTTGACAACGCTGAAGTTCGTCAAATTCTCAGAGAATATGGTGTAAACCAACGTCTGAGAGCGCCATATACACCCGAACAAAATGGTGCTGTGGAGAGAGAGAGAACAGAACGATTGTCGAAATGGCCTGGACCTTCAAGTACGCCAATCCAAATGTAACATTTCCTGCGGCTATCTGGGCGGAACTTGTCATCACTGCTTTCTATGTTTTGAACCGAGTGGGAAAGTCAGCAGTTGCCAACAAATCACCTTTGGAGCTCTGGATTGGTCAAAAGTCTAGGATCAAACATCTGCGAGTGGTCAGCTCAAAGTGCTACGTCCATGTTCCTGTTCAGAGGAGGCGGAAAATGGACAGGAAAGCTGTAGTTGGTTATCTGGTTGGATAGGATGGTGAAGAACGATATTGAATCTATGTTCCAGAGAGAAGAGATATCGTAGTTTCTCGTGACTTCGTTTTTCAAGAAATTGTTGGAGACTCTGACAAGAAAGTTGAGTGGCCTATCAAGATTGAGAAAACCAATGACATCGAAGAAGATTGGCAAGAAGTTGAAGAGACTATTGACGAGCCTAGTTCTCCAGTGAAGGGTGATGATGAGCCTATACCAACTGAGGACACGTCAAGTAGCAGTGATAGTGAAGATGCAGAGTTATCCAGCAATGATCCTGCAACCCGGCACTCGACTCGGGAAAGAAGGCAACCCGAGTGGCTAAACGGTTACGTCTCATCTATACGTCTCGCCATCCTAAGTTGAGGCAGCCCAAACTGACCGGGAGGGTCATTACCGGCTGGACCCGCACGACCCTTTATAATTCGATTAGCGTCACTTCCGTGAACGCTCTAGTTCAATAATTATCATTAACAAATTTTAAATCTGATGTATAGATTTAGTCATTTACATTAATAACTTTGATTTAATGCACATTTCCGTTTTTGTCCCATCAAAAACGGACAATGTTTACAGATC